CAAGCCAAGGGTCAGGGCAGGTTGCAGACTATGATAACTAGGAATGAAGCCAAGGGTCAGGGCAGGAAGCGGACTCTGAAAACTAGAAATGAAGCCAAGGGTTGGGACAGGTAGTGGATTCTGATAACTAGGAATGAAGCCAAGGGTCAGGGCAGGAAGTGGACTCTGATAACTAGGAATGAAGCCAAGGGTCGGGGCAGGTAGCGGGCTCTGATAACTAGGAATGAAGCCAAGGGTCGGGACAGGTAGCGGACTCTGATAACTAGGAATGAAGCCAAGGGTCAGGGCAGGTAGCGGACTCCGATAACTAGGAATGAAGCCAAGGGTTGGGGCAGGTAGCAGACTCTGATAACTAGGAATAAAACCAAGGGTTGGGGCAGGTAGCGGACTCTGATAACTAGGAATGAAGCCAAGGGTTGGGGCAGGTAGTGGACTCCGATAACTAGGAATGAAGCCAAGGGTTGGGGAGGGTATCGGACTCTGATAACTAGGAATGAAGCCAAGGGTTGGGGAGGGTATTGGACTTTGATAACTAGGAATGAAACCAAGGGTTGGGGCAGGTAGCGGACTCTGATAACTAGGAATGAAGCCAAGGGTTGGGGAGGGTATCGGACTTTGATAACTAGGAATGAAGCCAAGGGTTGGGGCAGGTAGCGGACTCTGATAACTAGGAATGAAACCAAGGGTTGGGGCAGGTAGCGGACTCTGATAACTAGGAATGAAGCCAAGGGTTGGGGAGGGTATTGGACTTTGATAACTAGGAATGAAACCAAGGGTTGGGGCAGGTAGCGGACTCTGATAACTAGGAATGAAGCCAAGGGTTGGGGAGGGTATCAGACTTTGATAACTAGGAATGAAGCCAAGGGTTGGGGCAGGTAGCGGACTCTGATAACTAGGAATGAAACCAAGGGTTAGGGCAGGTAGCGGACTCTGATAACTAGGAATGAAGCCAAGGGTTGGGGAGGGTATCGGACTTTGATAACTAGGAATGAAGCCAAGGGTTGGGGCAGGTAGCAGACTCAGATAGTAAGGAAATCAATAGAGGAAAGCAGACTGGATAGCAAGCAGGTACATGATTCGGCAGCTAGCTTGAAAAAGTGTTGTTCGTGGCAGTGAATCATGAGTTGCACTGAGTTTATATAGAGAAAGAGGAAGAAGACTTTCTGATTGGCTGCATCACAACAGGAAGGAAAGTATGCTGTTCTAATTGGCTGCAGTATAATTGAGAGACCGATAACCAGGTCGGGCATGGATTAGTCATGTAGCTGAATATATTAATCAGCAGGGGAGATTAGCTGATGCCTACAGCTTTCATCCCTTTGCAGGAACAAGAAAGAAACAGAGTACATGTTGTGGAACTACGAGACCTAGAACAGCATGGCATGTTGAAAGTGTGAAACCACAAGTAACATATTGACCTGCCTACAAGTGACAGATCAGCAGCAGCTTTTACTGCTTTATTCTTCATTCTCACTGGTGCTCAGTGGTGGCTTATATACTAGTCTTATGTCCACCCCCTTTACACAATAGTTAGTGGACAGTCCACACAGTAAAACCCCCATGTACGTTGGTGACCAGTGCAATTGACAAGAACCCCCAATTAAAAACCCTTTTCATTGGTGGTCAGGGTAAATATCCCCTTTGCATTGATGACCTGTGTAAGTGTCTCAGTCTTGTTGATGGTGAGAGAAAATGTTTCCAGTACACTGGTAAGCAGTGTTATCACCCTAGTTACAATGGGGGTGAGTGTGAATTTCCTTGTTATAATTGTGGTCAATGTAAAGGCCTCATTAGGTTTCACGAGTGGTCAGTAATGGTTCTCCCATTACAACAGTGTCTAGTGTATTTACTCATATTACATTGGTGATCATTGTTATTACCCTAGTTACGTTGGTGGACAAAGTTATTTTATTTATTGATTTGGGGTACTTGTATAGCGCCAACAATTTACACAGCACTTCTCATATGTATATTGTGCATTCACATCGGTTCCTGCCCTCAAGGAGCTTACAATCTAAGGCCCCTAACTCAATTTGTAAAAACACATACTAGGGCCAATTTAGACAGGAGCCAATTAACCTACCAGCATGTCTTTGGAGTGTGGGAGGAAACTGGGGTACCTGGAGAAATCCTACGCAGGCACAGGGAGAACATGCAAACTCCAGGCAGATAGTGTCATGTTTGGGATTTGATTTGGTTTGGGATCTGTTACATTAGTGGTCAGTGAAGAAGTGTCCCAATACTTCAGTGATCAGTGTAGAAAACTACCCTTTTCCATTGATGGTTAGGGTAGAAGTGATTCCTTACATTATGCTCAGTGTCATGAAGAAGGAGTCCTTAAGTTATTAATTGGTGGCAGTAAAAATTACCCCTCACATTGATGGTTAATGTAGTGCCTACTTACATTGGTAGTCGTTGACAAGAAAGAATGACTGTTTACTTTTGTCAATGACATGAAGAATGACCCCCTTTAATTGGTGGTCAGTTTAGTGCCTGCTAAAATTGGTAGTCAGTGGTAAAAGCCATGAAAAATGACCCCTTTCATTGGTTGTCAGTGGCAGAAGGAATGCTCCACTATAGACTCATTGTAGTGACCTCTTTACATGAGTAGTCAGTGGTAAAATGCCATACATTAATGGTCAGTGGCAAGGGGCATGTTAATTTTTATTGGTGGTCATTGGGAAATACACCAAACATCCATAACATTATGACCATGCCAGGTAAAATTAATAACATTGATTATCTTGTTCCAATGGCATCTAAAAATGGGTGGGATATATTAGGCAGCAAGTGAACATCTTCTCCCTGAAGTTGTGTTTAATACAGAAAAAATGGCAAGCATAAGGATTTGAGTGACTTTGACATCGGCAGCTCTTGTGGGATGTTGCTGGTCTGCCAAGGTCAGGACCTACCAAAGTGGTCCAATGAAGGAAAACCAGTGAACCATCAACATTGATGCACATGGGGAGTGAAGGCTGGCCCGTGTAGTCCTATACAATAAAAGAGCTATTGTACCTCAAATTGTTAAAAAGGTTAGAGCTGGTTCAGATAGAAAGGTATCAGGACACACAGTGCATTGCAGTTTGCTGTGTAGACCAGTTAGGGTCCCAATACTGAGACGTGGCTACGGCCAAAAGCACCTACAATGGGCACGAGCATTAGAACTGGATGACAGAGTGATGGATGAAGGTGGCTTGGTCTAATAAATCACCTTTTCTAATACTTAAAGCGGAGCTCCACCCACAGGTCCCAGAAGACTACGGGACCATTCACAAAGCGCAGCACTACTTGCGCATGCACAGTGGGCACTCAGGTGTGAAGCCGTAAGCTGTCACAGCCGAGTGCCCACACTGAAGATGCCAGGGAGAGAAGACGGCCAATGATACCAGCTGTGGTGAGGACACTGCTGGACCAAGGGACAGGTAAGTGTCTCTACATTAAAAGTCAGCAGCTAGAGTTATTTTTTTATTCAACTGGAACTCCACTTTTATGTGGATGCCCTGGTGCGGGTGCATTGCTTACCTGGGAAAGAGATGGCACAAGGATGGACTATGAGGGGAAGGCAGTCAGCAGGGGCATAGTGATGCTTTTGGCAATGTTCTGATGGAAACCTTGGGTCCTGCCATCCATGTGGATGTTACTTTGGAGTCCATGCCTTGACAGGTCAGGGCTGTTATAGCAGCAAAAGGGGGACCTACTGAATATTAATTGGGTGGTCATAATGTTATGCTGGGTGGTCATAACGGCATGGTTGATCAGTGTATGTCCCCTTATACACTCTGCTAAACATCAAACAGCAATGGAAATCTGACAACAGTTTTTGTTAACATTCTTTATTTTCCTTTTTTTCACAAAAATAGTGAAATACTAAATATGTAAGTAATGTGTACACAATTCCAAGCATAGACATACAGAAACAGCATACTGTGAGTTATGGTGGAGAAATGTGCAAGTGAGAAGTTGAAGATATTGAGCACATATCTCAAAGATTGAGGGCCCAGATAACCTGACCATAGCAATCGCAGCGTGGTGTGGTATTATTAGGGCTCATGTACACTGCAGCTGATAAACTCCCGTTTAGGAGCCTTTCTGTGTTTTTTTTCAGCAGCCCCTGAACTCTCCCTAATGTTTTCCTGTGTGTCCATGTACACATCAAGAAATCACTGCAGTGTATGAGACCTCTGGTTGAGTGTATTTATAGTCTGCACTCCCAATATATGTCTATGGTGTTTGGGCCATAATTCGTATTAATTGATTGTTTTTTATATACCTCTGTTTATATTTATTGTTTGTAGCGCCGCACTGTTTTCTTATATAGATCTTTTGGTTACTACGGTTAGTGCTAAGGTTATGGCACTTCTAGTGCTGGCAGCTTAGTGATATCATCATTCCTAGTGGCGCAGGAGACTTATTCCAATTATCATGTACACATCATCATTTACACGCAGTTGAGTTTACAGTCATTTTTTTGAACGCAGAAAACTTGCGTTCAGGAGTAGATTTTATCAGCGTTTCAAATGCAAAATGCTTGTAAACACGGCTAACTGCGTTTATAAGCGTTTGTGTGTGAAATTTTTTTTTAACTCTTCCATTTCCAGATGCTGTCTAGAGCCTTTTTTCATCATGAAAAATGTATGCAACGCATTTTCCTGGTAATCAAATGTACCCAACACACCATACTTTGAGCTTTTGCATGAAAGAAAATATGTTAGACACTGCTACAATACTTTCTGCACAGAAATGAGCTGGAACACATCCAAACACCACAAAAAAGAAAGACAGCTAATCTCAACACATACTGCTCTCTCTGCTTCTGCTCTCTCTATTTCTCTCAAAATGTCTGAAATAGTTATATTTGTACTGTTTTTCAGTGCATTCTGGGCATTTTGGAAGGTCTCCTGAGGTTATCTTTAAAAAACGCTTCTAAACGCAAACGCTCATAAACGCGCATAAACGCAGTATGCAAACGTGGCTAAACAGATGTTTTTTAACCTACATTTCAGGGGTGGACTGATAACTCATGAGGCCCCCTGGCAATAGGGGATCATGGGGCCCCTGTGTCCTCACCCACACTCAAACCACACCCAAAAAAGCCTATGAAAGGTACTAGGGGCATCTCATGGGGCCCCCTACCGACCCTGGACCCTCGGGCAGTGCCAAAATGGTCAGTCCGCCCCTGCTACATTTTCCAGAAGTCAGTTTCCATTGTTCAGAGGTGTCCCGTGTACATGGGGCCTTAGCATTTGAAAAGAAGATAGGTAACCCATCAGTCCCTTTTACATTAAAATAAGAAACTATACAGAAGGTCCAGAAGAGAAAAGAAAAGAGAATAAAAAAAAGACGAGGGGCGGAGGGGAAGGTGAGCAAATACACACAGGGATATGCCTGTTGTTAAGTGCACATGTAGAAAAAGTGAGTGCTGAGAAGCAGGTATAGTCTTGAGAATAGTTTTAACTCTTCCTCATTCTATCCAAAACTAGAACAAAGTTTGGCTTATGTTTTCCTATAATTTCAAGTATTCATTGATATTATTTATGACCAGGGGCAGACTGACAACTCATGGGGCCCCCGGGCAATAGGGGATAATGGGGCCCCTGTGTCCTTGCCCACACCCAAAAAAGCCTATGAAAAAGGTACCAGGGGCATCTCATGGGGCCCCCTACTGACCTCGGGCAGTGCCCGAGTGCTCGAATGGTCAGTCCGCCCCTGTCTATGACTAAAGCTTTATATGAAATGTAGGCTGTCCCTGACACATGTGAATGATAAGATGTAGACACCACCCCTAATGTCCACACTCCCATTGGATAACTTTTACTATGGATAAGACAAAACAGGAAAAAACTGTTTTAAAAGGAATAAACTTTTTTGCAGGTAACTCAATAAACAACTAAAATGTACAAGTTATGAGAATTATTTATAAAGCTTCAGCTAACTGCCAATTGGAAAATGGTGAACTGGTTTTTGAAAGAGAGTGTCAAATTTTTAGAAAAAAAAAACGAATAAACAATTGTGCAAACCTAGCAGGCTGGAAAGTACTGTGCAAGTGTGATTTTGTTTTCTCAAATTCCAAGTATGCAATATTAAAGAACACCTGAACTGAGAGAAAAATGAGACTAACATTGCTGACCCCAGTCTAGAAACTCATGAGACGCTGAATAATGGAGATGGAAGCATAGAAACCAAGCATGTTGGAAGCTTTTCACTGTTGACTGGCTCACTACCTCTGCTGGAAATGTATTCCAAACAGATCAGGAACAGACAGACAGAGATCAAAACTCCTAAATTTGCTTCTCTATCCTAGGTCAGTAAATCAGTGAAGCCGGGTGCTGCCCACTGGCTGGAGGAGCAGGCTGTGCACTTTGTGCCTGCTCTCCTCCTTCACCCCGCTGTTGCTGCACAGTAACAGAGTGGCTGTGCTGTGATCAGGGAGAGGTGCAGCTGTGGGCTGTGTTTGAAATCCCCCCTTGCCCCTGCTGCTTCTCCCTCTTGGCAACAGGGCTTGAACCAATCAACGGCAGGAATAGAACTTGCTATGCAGCCTCAATGGGTCATGGGATATTTAATCCACAAGCAGAGTGGAGCAGGGGCAGACTGACCATTTGGAAACTCGGGCACTGCCCGAGGGCCCAGGGTCAGTAGGGGGCCCCATGAGATACCCCTCGTACCTTTTTCATAGCTTTTTTTTGAGTTTGGGCAAGGACACAGGGGCCCCATGATCTCCTACTGCCCGGGGGCCCCATGAGTTGTCAGTCTGCCCCTGGAATGGAGGCTAATGTGCAGACTTTGATGCTGATTCCCTGCACACTAGGGGTGGAATGGAGAGACTTTTGAGCGACAAAGGAGAGAGAGAGCAGGACAAAAATCAGAGTGTGCAGACCTGCAGCTGAATTCTGAGCACCTAGAGCTGAGAGACTGAGCCATAGAGAGGCACTGTGCCGTGGGACCGCAATATGCTGTGTCTATAGAGCCTGAGGACTGAGCCACAGAAATGTTTCTCGCTGTGCTATGACCAGAGCTGGAGAGACCTGTTGCCATGTGAGCACCTACAGTGCCTTGAAAAAGTATTCATACCCCTTGAAATGTTCCCCATGTTGTCATGTTACAACCAAAAACGTAAATGTATTTTATTGGGATTTTATGTGATAGACCAACACAAAGTGGCACCTAATTGTGAAGTGAAAGGAAAATGAGAATTGGTTTTCAAAATTTTTTAGAAAATAAATCTGTGAAAGGTGTGGCGGCAATTGTATTCAGCCCCCTGGAGTCAATACTTTGTAAAACCCCCTTTCGCTGCAATTCTAGCTGGAAGTCTCTTTGGGGATGTCTCTACCAGCTTTGCACATCTAGAGAAGGGACATTTCTGCCCATTCTTCTTTGCAAAATATCTCAAGCTCTGTCAGATTGGATGGAGAGCGTCTGTGAACAGCAATTTTAAAGTCTTGCCACAGATTCTCAATTAGATTTAGGTCCAGACTTTGACTGGGCCATTTGAACACATGAGTATGCTTTGATCTAAACCATTCCATTGTAGCTCTGGCTGTATGCTTAGGGTCATTTTGCTGCTGGAAGGTGCACCTCTGCCCCGGTCTCGAATCTTTTGCAGACTCTAACAGGTTTTTTCCTAAGATTGCCCTGTATTTGGCGCCATCCATCTTCCCATCAACTCTGCTGAAGAAAATCATTCCTACAACATGATGCTGCCACCACCATGTTTCACGGTGGGGATGATGAGTTCAGGGTGATGTGCATTGTTAGTTTTCCGCCACACATAAAGTTAAATTTTAGGCCAAAAAGTTGAATTGTGGTCTCATCTGACCAGAGCTTCCACGTGGTTGCTGTGTCCCCCACATGGCTTCTCGCAAACTGCAAATGGGACTTCTTATGGCTTTCTTTCAACAATGGCTTTCTTCTTGTCACTCTTCCATAAAGGCCAAATTTGTGGAGTGCACAAATAATATTTGTGCTGTGGACAGATTCTCCCACCGGAGCTGTGGATCTCAGCAGCTCCTCCAGAGTTACCATGGGCCTCTAGGCTGCTTCTCTGATTAATGCTTTCCTTGCCCGGCCTGTCAGTTTAAGTGGACGGCCATGTCTTGGTAGATTTGCAGTTGTGCCATACTCTTTCCATTATCTGATCATGGATTAATCAGTGCTCCGTGAGATGTTCAAAGCTTGGTATATTTTTGTATAACCTAACCCTGCTTTAAACCTCTCCACAACTTTATCCCTGACCTGTCTGGTGTGTTCCTTAGCCTTCATGATGCTGTTTGTTCGCTAATATTCTCTAACAAACATCTGAGGGCTTCAAAGAACAGCTGTATTTAAACTGAGATTAAAATACACACAGGTGAACTCTATTTGCTAATTAGGTGACTTCTGAAGGCAATTGGTTCCAATAGATTTTAAATAGGGGTATCAGAGTAATAGGGCCTGAATACAAATGCATGCCACACTTTTCAGATATTTATTTGTAAAAATGTTAAAAACCATTTCTCATTTTCCTTCCACTTCACAAATATGTCCCACTTTGTGTTGGTCTATCACATAAAATCCCAATAAAATACATTTACGTTTTTGATTGTAACATGACAATGAAAATGTGGAAAATTTCAAGTGGTATGAATACTTTTTCAAGGCACTGTACACCAGTGAGAACAGAGCCTTGTTAGTACCTGATCATGAGGACCAATCCACTGGGGACAGCAGACTGCCAAGTGTTCAGGACTGGATCTGTTTGGTACCAGGAGTGGTGAGTGGAACCAGCTGTGCTTATCCCCTTACTGTCTGCAGTTATTACCAGTAGGATACTGCCCCATATTCCTAGCAGCCCTTTGCGTAGCCTCCCCAAAGTTTGCTCACTGCATGAAGTTTTAAGAGACACTAACATGCACCACTATACAGACAGGCCCCAGCATTTGCTGGTACCAGGTACTTTACAGCCATCCCTGAGAAACCCATCTCAGGAATGTGTTCACCCACCCACTCTTAGGGGTGTATGCACAGAGTGCACTCGAGGACACTTTTTGACTAAATATTGCCAAGGGTTTCAGTGAAACTTTTTATGCTGATCTTATTGGTGCTGTGGCTTAGCCTTATTGCAGTTTAAGTTAATTCCCATAGTGTAGACTAGTATTCCTGTCAGTTAATTCATCATATTCAAACGTATTCATTGACTTTTTTATTGTTTTGCGCATTGCATTTAGCTTGCCCTTGAATAATACACTTACTTTATCTACCATCAAACAGCCTATTTCTTGTGAATGTTAATATAGTGTGATAGCATTCTAATACTTAAAGTATACAGGTGTGAGCTTCCTTCTAATTACATAACTAGGTGTATCAGAGGGGATGGAGCGGTTTACAGAGTCATGGCAGAACAGAAAACTCATCATAGCACAGTGGCTAAATGGTTAGCACTTTCGCCTGGCAGTACCAGGGTTGTTGGTTCGAATCCCAGCCATGGCACCTCTTGCCTGGAGTTTGCATGTTCTTCCTGTGCCTGTGTGGGTTTCCTCTGGTTTCCTCCCACATTCCAAAGACATGCTAGTAGGTTAATTGGATCCTGTCTAAATTGGCCCTTGTATATGAATGTGAGTTAGGGACCTTAGATTGTATGCCCCTTGAGGGTAGGGAATGATGTGAATGTACAATATATATGTAAAGCGCTGTGTAAATTGACAGCGCTATATAAGTACCTGAAATAAATACCAAGTGGCTCCTGTGTGGGTGCACTACATCAGAAAGCAGTAAAGCCATTGGATCAGCATGAGAGTAAAAGAACTAGCATTTTCAGCAGCAAAAAGAGAGCAAACATTAATAGAAATATGTCTGAAAATTGGTGAACTTGAAACATGGAGAAATTGACACATTCCTAAGCCAAGCACAACTGGAGAACAAACTTGCATAAATAGGGCAATAAAACTCCCCAGAAAAAAACAGAATACACAAAAAAAAACTTTATAAATGCCTGCTTTGTGTTTATGCACCCCTATCTTGACTACACTCTCTAGGCACCTACTAGCCTCCCCAGTGATTTTGGAGAAATACAGTCCTGTGACTTAATGATTTACTTGGATCCTGAATTGTGGAGAAATGAAACGTGGTATTTAATCCTCCTACAAGATTTATTAAGGTTCCTTATTGACCAAACTCTCCTAATCCTCTGTCTATACTGGTCCCTGGCAGAACATTGTCAAAAAAACACTATGAATCACCTTCATTACATTAACACCATTGTGTGTGTTTAATAAACAAATTCAAACCAACACACCCATACGCTGAATAAAATGTATTTGTTATGACATTAAGACAGAGGACAGACATGGGCAAACAAGACTACCATGAAGCGAGTCAAAATTCTCCACCTTTGATTTGGCAGGACAGTGAAACAATGAAATGTGTGAATATTTCCTAGGCTGTGTTGTTAGGAAAGACATGAACAGCCTGACAGTCATCAGCATTGCCCACGATTTAAGCATCACTCAGAAAATATTAGCTGTTTCTGGCCATCCAAGAAACATCTTGGGACATTGGTGGGAATCATTTTAGCACAAAGATATTTTACAACCTGTCGGGAAATCTGCATGAGATTGGAATCCTAACAGATCATAGCACTACTAGGGGGAGGACCTCTTTCAGCAGAAGATAGATGGAACTTGCATCATATCCATTAGTAGCTAGATGGAACTTGGATCATATTTATTAGTAGCTAAGCCAGCTAGCTACTAATGGATATGATGCAAGTTCCATCTATCTTCTGCTGAAGGAGGTCCTCCCCCTAGTAGTGCTATGATCTGTTAGGATTGCAGTCTCATGCAGATTTCCCAACAGGTTGTAAAATATCTTT